ATGACATAAGTTCAAAAGTTCAGCATAACAATTGTGCAATCCTCTGGATAACTGCTGTATAAATCTGCTGAATAATATGGATATCACAGGATCAAAAGTTCAGAACCAAATTCAGCATACAATGGAACCAAGTACCATGATTAACCGTTGTATAATCTATGACCAAGTAAAATATATCAGGATCAAAGGTCCGGAACATAACTAGATAACCATCCTGAATACCGAATCCAGAAAAAAAAAATAAAAAAAAAATATGAGACCCATATAGTCACCAACAGAACAACAGTCACTATCAGAACATAGTCACCAACGGAGCACGAGTAACCATTTGAACATAGTCACCAACTGAGCACGAGTAACCATTTGAACATAGTCACCAACTGAACCTGTGATAAAATTCCCTCCCTGCTCACGGGTGAAGACTAGTTCAGGGTAAGACAATGGTAACTCGAAAATCACGGGTCCGCCTGAAAGTAAAATCATCGCAACACAGACGTGCATGATGAAAGTACTTTCGATTGAACCTCATCCGAGCGTGGTATATGACATGACTGCACTAATCGGACCATGTCCTATAGCCGTCATGCCCCCACTCTATTCCTAGTGTCCTAGTGCACTCTGGCCTGGGTACTGGGCCTTTTACCTCAATAGTGACATCCCCACCCAACATGGAAAACAGAGTCCAGCATAATAGATAACAAATAGGGAAAGCAATAAAATGCAATACAAACTTATGCTCATGAACACATGTACAAATGAGTAAACTGAAAGCATAAAAATAGACACCCAAAGAAAAGAAAGCAAGAGCTAGGAGCGACTCCGGGATGGACCAGCATTTGGTCGACCTGTCCCCAGTGAAGTCGCCAGCTGAAACAACCGGCTGAAAATCATCAAACAATGAAGTCGCCATCGAACGTCTTTTATCCCACGTGAAGGGAAAGGTAAACATCGAGAAAACCCTAGAAGGATGAAATCAAGGTCGAACGACCAAGAGATAAGGGTAAGGGAGTCTGTTACGCGAAGGGAAGGTGTTAGCACCCCACACGCCCGTAGTACTCTACGGTATCCACTCTTGTTATCTATCTTATGGGTGTGTTTAATCTATGCTTACTGTTTATTACTGCTAAGGGAAAATGTATGCAAAATAAAAGAGAAAAGAATGTAGGGAAAATGAAAATTGTGCTCGTTCGGGCCCTACCCTGATGCCTACGTATCCCTTTTAAGGAATCAGAGCAGTCGTAGTTCGGCTTATATGTTTTTGTTTGTTTGTATTTTCTTTAACGAACAGTATTAATCTCGCCTTCTGCCGCAACTCGACCTTTGGAGATTTACGCGTCAGCACAGAAGTGAATTGATACGCTCTTTTGAAAAGGGTTTGAAAGAAATGCCCGAGGGCAAAAAGATTTTTATGTTTGTTGGTGTTTTTACTTGTAGATAATGGCTAGTTAACCTCAAGAGAGATATTTTAGCCATTTCTCTATTTATTCAAGAAATGAGTCTTTGAGACTTAAACCACACCAAAGCTTAGAATAAGAGATCAATAAGGTCGAGAAGAGACCCGCTTATCGTCTCAAATACTTAACGAAGATATGATTCTCGTCAGTAAATTTTTTGTATTTTTGAAGTTTACGAGAAAAAGAAGTTTTTGTTTTTAAATGCATATGCGAAAAGAAAAAAAAGAAAAGTCACAGGGAGACTAACCTATTTCTAAACCTAAAGTCATCATACCATGCAATCTATGGGAAGTGATAAATGCGGGGTGAGAGTGGAAATAAAATATACCAAACGAGTACTAGCTCGTAGAGCCAAGTAAAAAACAAAGAAACTTGATGATCTCATGAGCTGCTAGCATCAACAAAGAAAAGAATTGGAAATCCAATGCTCGGAATAAGTGTTGAAGCATCATTGACGTGAAAATAAATCACAATCGGAACCTCAGACATATCCGTATATCACACAATAAGCATGCATAAGACTCAAATCTCCAAAAACAAAAGTGAATCACGAGTCTCGAGTAATCGGATAATCAAGAATTAATTTCTAAAAATATCTCTTACAATCTAACATTTTTTAGGTTTTTATTATTTTTATCATGGAAAGATATAGAAAAAAAATTAAAAAAAATCCTAAACTCTACCTATTTTTCTTATTGTTTCATCAGCATTAGTCTTTATTAAATAAAGTTTAAAAGAAAATTTAAACTGAAATAAAAAAACTAAAACAATTAGAAATAGATAGGGGGTGAAAATTGGAATAAGGGTTAAAAGTATATCTTCTAATCCTTCTGAAACACAATTCTCCACACAGCGCTGCAGGGCCTTCTTCCTCAATAGCTCGCCGCTGTCTCATAATCTCTGTCAAAAGCTCTATCGCTAAACAAAATCTCTCCGCCCTGGCTTCCATTCCACGGGACAATATTTACCGGGACTTCATCTTTGATGACACGACTCTCCCCTCAGTGAGCTCGCCTCTCAACCTCCATCTCAGCAAACACCTCCGCAAATCGTCGAGTTTGACTCAACCTCAAACATCTCAACGTCTCTTCCGCCGCTTCGTTTTCATTTCGATTTTCTCTGTGTTTCGTATCTTTTTGTGGATTCAACAACTTATTAGAAACAGAAATTGCAGAGCAACAAAAGAAGATTTACCTATCCGGTAGCTATTCGAAGTGGCAGCGTTAATCAGAAAAGACCAGCGGTATAGAAGGTATACTCTTCAATCTCTTGCCTATGCTATTTCTCTTCTTCTTCTTTCTTTTTTCTTGCGTTTCTTTGTGACTTCCAAGTGCGTGTATTGATGAGCATTGATAGGAAGGAGCATAGGGTTGTTGCGGTTGTCGTTGTGAGTTGTGTTTGAGTGAGATCGTAGGAGTGTGATTTGAGTTTACAGAGAGATGATTTGATGAAGATGAAGCAGGGTTTCAGAATGAAGTAAAAATGAAGAGTGGCTTGAAGGGTGAAGAGTATTGGTTAGAGAAGAAAGAGAGAGAATTCCGAAAACTTTTTGAGTTCTGGGTGAAAAATGAAGGGTGTTGATGGAAGAGGATAGAAAAAAATGGTGGAGAGAGGATGAAGTTTGAAACTGGAAAAGAGAAAGTCTCGTCGTCCCCTCAAACTTGGAGGGAGTTTGGATTATATAGGTAATTGAGGGAGGAAACGGTTATGTGGGAATCAATCTGAACCATTGATTTGGATAGAGTTTGTTAGGGATTGAAGGGTGAGATTGAGAGTTGGTTACAAGGTGGTTATGCTAGTTGGGAATTCTGTTTGGAGGTAGTTAGAGAGTTGTTAATTAATCTTCTGTTTCCCATTCTTCAAGCTTCTGTCCTACAAATGATTCCTTCAGCAGCCAATTGCTTTGAGCAGATGCACATGTGACAGTACCAGTTCTGATTGAGAACTTCATCTTCTTCAATGTCCAGGTATTCAGTATGAAAAAGCCTATTGCAACCGGAACATGGGAATAAAAATTTTCAGCCCTTCCACCCAAACAGGCACAACATGTATCTTTCGGATAATTCTGAGGAGCAGCATCCTTACTAAGTAAATCTTGAAGTACCCAAAACTTTTCCTGGCTACAAATCACAGCATCATGCTTCAACCTTGCCGCAATAGTGCCAAGAATATCGATTGCCATGGAACGTGAAGCAAAATCCTTGGAACTTGTCCCAGCATTCTGAATTAGTATGGCACATAGAACCTCTAGAATAGAAGCTGAAGCAGGATATTCAGGTAAATTTAGAGTGGTCAATAAATCAGTAACAAGATTCTCCATTGTGGATTTCAATTCAGAAGCATCCTGAGTCTTTACACTTGCAAGTCGCTGAAGTACACGGGTTCAAAAATAGGAGCAGGCTTCTGTTACTGCATCGCGGCATTTAGCTTGATAACTAGCATCAACCGGGATTTCCAATACAGAATTACTACTCGATGCTTGTCTTAAAGAATGTTAGCACTACAATGAATTGGATAAGTAAAGCAGTAATCATCTGGATCTGTCTTTGCTCTAAGGTATTTTCTATATGAACCAGTGAAGAATGCAGGGATTCTAGCTTATGTGTTTCTGTAAACCTTGAATATATATCATTAGATTTTTGATGAAGCTTCCCATTGATTACTGATGCTGTTAACCAACGCAAAAATTTCGACACTAAGGAGTCATCACGAGACTCTTTTCCTAGTTCTTTTTTTGTTGACAAAAATGCGAGACTCGTTAGACCTCAACCTTTGTGCAGAATCCGACGCTAATGCAGTTGTAATTGCCCAAATGATAAAATTACGAAGCCTTTCCTGATCCATTAAGAAAATGGAAATAGGAGGTGCGCTCATAAGTATGGCTTCAAGAGCAAAATCCGGGTAAATGCCTTTTGTAGCTTGATTACACACACTGCCAGAGGAGAGATGGAATCATGTTCTGAGTTAGCACATTCGACAGGTGGTAGTGAAAGGAGTGGGTTGGCCTAAAACTTTGCAAACTTGATTGGCTTTGACGACAAGCCTAAAACAAAGACGTTGGACTAGTGGATAGTCTAAATTTCGACAGCATTCTCGTGGCCCCGCTCCATCTGTTCCTTAAACCCATATTTGAACGATTTGGGTGTGATAGACATTTTGTTCAAGTCGGGGTCAAAATCAAGACCTGCTGCAACACTGCCTATCATATCATCATCAACCATCATATCCTTTGCATTTAAGTCAACAAATTCGTCGTCTGATGCTTCACTTCCAGAATCACTGTCTTCCTCGTCGTCATATGTAGTTCTGACTCTTGACCAGCGGACAAAGTGTGGTCTTAGGTAGCCTTCACTTTTCTTCAACAAACATGGATCAAATGGGAAGAACATGTCGAGTCTATCCATCCCACCAAAAGCCTTGGAAAGATCAGCCTCGAGCAAATCTTCAAACACAAATAACTCTGCTGACATGAAAAGCCGAGCAGCCTTTGCCTGTTTAAGAAATTCCTCTACTACACTAGGCAAACAGACCTTCAAGGGATTCAATTTATGTTTCCAAAGTAGCAACATTGGCATTATTCACTACTCGAAGAACCTGAGTGAGCACTTGACTTGTCTCTTCCTGCTCTTTGCTAGCATAAATTGGAAGCTTTTTAAGGACATATGTTAGACCTCGCACAATTCTTACTTGAAAAAGGCAGAGGGTCTCAACAGTGACCTTTCCAACCAAGGCACCAAGTCCCATGACACCACCTATTTGTGCTTGCCATTTAAGTCCATAGCAAAAATGAAGAAGACGGGGCAATAATTGCTCAAACACAGGAACACGGACACTAGGGGGAGGAGAATACACGGGATTCATTGATCGACTAGAGACAATCATAGGTGTGCCAGGCCCTCTGGACATTATGAAATCAGTATGTTTTGAACGAGCAAGAAATACAAGTGTTTCGGAAAACACATTCAAAGCATCAAGAGCAGCTTTGGCATGGAGCCTGTTTTCATCTGCCAGTATATCAACTAAAGCATCCAAGAATACCAAAGGATCCAGCTCCTTCAGATTTGAAGGAACACTAGATTTTATCCTATAACCAACATGCACAGATAACGATGAACCCATTGCAGCTGCAGACACGTTGCTAAATGAAGAATCAACATGAAATATCATCGCAAAATGGCGACATATATTGACAACAAAATCATCTGCAGAATCTGTGAGATCTGGTTCACCATTAGCAGCAATGATAGTCATTAAAAGAATCTTGAAAACAGATTTCTCAGCCATAAGTTGAGTCTTTGTCTTAACTCCTAAGTCAGCCTTTACATCAATTGACTCAGACCTGCGTGATGAATGATCAACCGTAGAAGCCAACAATGTGGACAGCTGTTTGGATGTGGTTCCCTCATCAGTAACAGTTCCAGGTAAATTGAGCTGAGATGATAAGCACACGCGAAGGAACTTTAGAGCCTGCTTCCGATAGAAAGCATCCATGATATCAGTCGCATCATAATTCTTATACGTTGTAGCCAAATTCCACAAGCTCATTATCTCAAGAGCAAAAATAAGAGTTCCATGATGGACAGAGTCTATGTAGGACACTACTCCAGCAAGGGCTTTCAAAATTGTCACAAGTTGAGCAGCTTCATGAGAATTAAGATTCCTTTTAGGCTGCAAACACCCAACAAGCTCTTCATAGTTCTCTCTACCATCCGTGACTTCAAGAAGGGCATCTCTAACGTGATATATTAACTGCAAATCACTGATTTCAGCATCCTCGTTCGTTGTACGTAATTCTTCGTTTGAATTTGGAAGCAACTGTCCCATGCTCCCAAAAACAAAGAAAACGCAGAGATGGAAAACTAACCGAATATGAGGCTGAGGCTAGGGTTTTAGATCGGATCTACCGGTCCAAAAGTGGACGAGCTACAGAACCGGTGGCGGTTTTCGTAAACCGGCTCAGCTTTGTTATGTGAAAAGAAAAAGGAATTAGAGAAGGATGGAGCAGCATTTGGTTTGGGTTAATTAATGGTTTTTCATGTGTCGAATAATTTGTATGAGCATAAGATATTTTGGCATGATTGCTTGTATTGACGTGGATTTTTTTTTGTATGAATGTGCAGGTCATGAACTGAAGATGAAGAACTTTGGCATGGCATGGAATTATAAGTTTACTCATGGAATTTTAGCACCTTTAGGACTAAAGAATTTTGTTCAAGTGTATTTTGTAACAGTTTTTTTTTCTTTGTAGAATATTGGTGTAATGGGATTGTAATGATTTTATAATGAATGTTTGGTTTGGATGAACTTGAAATTTATAGTGTGAATTATAAATGACCTTTGAGCTTGAAATGTTGGATGATGAATTTTAATGACGGAGTTTAAATGACAAAGTCTTGAAAAATGCTTGAAGACATGAAAGCATCAAATTTTCTTGTAAGGTATTGTTACACTTGAATGAAATTGAATGGAATTGGATAGTATTTTCTTGAATCATGAATGAAAAGGTTCGAATAAACTTTGAACACATGTCAACTTGAATCTGGAATAACGATGAACGTCTTTGTAATGCGTATGAACTCTGACTTGAAACAAAACCTCGCAGTCTGCACTTTACCTTCCAAGAAAGCCATATGAATAATACTTAAGACTCTTTGCCGACTTTAATCCAGTCAAACACTTTCGAACATCTTGAATTTAAATCAAACTTCAAATCCAAATCACACTTGCATTCTCAATGAACTCCTAACTTCAATATTGAATCCCAAATCAACTTGAATAGCCAATGGGATCTTAATCCTAAAAATTCACAACCTCGCCCTTTTGCATCATGCCTCATCCTACGATTCAATCCACAAGTCTCTTATCTCGACGAGGTCCTTCTCTAATTGACGACCTTTAATCATCAAAGGTGTACACAAAAGATAATGAACGAACATGATCGAGATTAACATGAAACCTTATTTCCCCTGATCTTCAATTACTTGAACATTTATCAATGAATAGAAACTCTGATTTTTAATGAAATCTTCCTTTTCTGAACCAATATTTCTTTTCCTTTACCATACTATTCTTCAAATGCAACTCGAATTCCCAACACATATTAGATGAAAATTCAAGGGAGACCTTGGTCCCAAAGTTAATTTTTCAAAGCTTACTTTACCCGAAGTCAACAGATCTTATCCACATATCTTTGAAATTGACCCATGATTATGCATCTCAAGGTCTCATAAGAGCTTGTAAACCCATCAACCAGGTATGCCATGTTGAACAAACCCTGCCTTGAATGCCTTGAACTTTGAATTACCTTGCATGAATTCTTCTATGGGAAACCTACTTCAATCCAAACCTACTCACATCGCAGATAACAAATGACAATGATGAGGATAATGATGGCCTTGGTTAAGGAGAAATCTATGAATTCATATCTTAGGTCATGAACCACACTTCACAATTCAATCCTCAGCCCTTAGCGATTGGTTATTTCAACTTGAGATTAGTGTCATAAGGAACATCTTACAGATGGATGATAAAGTCTAAATCACAGAAGAATTCCCTTGATGTGAAACCCTCACAATCTTGATTCCTCGTTCAGACGCACAGAGAAATATCCGGATAAAACATCTTTGAACCATGATTCAACAAAACCTAATTTGATTACTGAGGAGTAGACGATTGTCATGTCACAGTCATTAATCCTAATCAAATGACAAGCATACTTATAGGGAAGGACGTTATGATTCGAAGCCCACATATGCTAGGTCACGTCCTAGAGTTCTTGACCAGAATGACCTACAATCGGTTGTTTATCAGAAGATAATAGCCTTGCTGCTTCAGGGAGAAGAAGTCCTTTATTGGATATGAGCGCCTTAACCACTATGAAACCCTAGTATCGCACAACCACTGAACTTTGAACCTCAGAGTTATATTGAATGAAATGTATGCCATTTTAGTGACCTAATGAAAAAGATGCAGATGAATGCAAAAGTCTAAGCCAAAATAAAGGAAATTAGGAGGGCAAATTTTGGGGTGCAACACAAATTAACGGGCACTCTAGTGTCCAATCCTCTTTTACCTTCGAGTCACGAAAGGCAGATTCGCCAATCTAACTCTTCAGGTTCAAGAAGATTGAACAGGGGCAACTGTTGTACCCCAAAATTTTCCCTCTTATTTTACCAAGATTTCTCATCACAAGGCTCCTTGAACTCAAGACCAAGTTAGGGTTTGCACTGCTCAAGACATCTCCTAGCAATGTTGACCTAAATTAGGGTTTGAGTTTGCACAAGGGATTTTGGACTTCTAATGCCCAAAATGACTTTCATACTTCATGTTGGACTCCTAATTTTGTCCATACCAAGTTTCAAGCCTTGAATCAAATTTTTGCCCAGTCAATTGGATAGTTGACCTAGAAATTAACTGTATTGGGGAAAAGTCAATTGTGGCCAATTTACAGTCAAACCTCACAATTTTTTATCCACATCAACATTATAGACTCATATGAACCATTTGATCAAGTTTGGACCACAGCTCCACAAGAAATTTGATCAGATCACCAAAAGGACAAAATGGTCATTTTTAGGGTTTTGACTGCACAAAGGCAATTTCTGACTTTTGACCTAGCCAATGGCAAATTGGGATCAAGCATGGACTCAAGGACTCAATGAAATCATCTTGACCTATTCACAAGGTTCAAAATATCTCAAGTGCATTGGATTGACAGATGAATTTTTCAGTCAACTAATCAAAATTTGACTGTACACTGAAAAGTCAAACTTTGACTTTTTGGTCAAAATCAAGTGCCAAGGGTCATGTTTCATCAATATGTGTCAAAACATGAAACTTGTTCATCAAGAAACCCATTTTTGCAAATTAGGGTTTAAAATTGAAAAAATTTCATAACTTAGAATTTTTCTAAGTTATGAAATTTTCTTAATTTTTCCTAACTTTGCCCAACATTTTCACCATGATGCAATTGGATTCAAACAAAACTTCCAACATGAAAGTTGTAGTACTCCACAAAGTCTACAACTTTTATTCACAAAGTTTTCCAAAAAGAATCTTGGATCTAAAGTTATGAGTTTTGGAACAAGGGTCCCTAAAACTTTTAACTTAGTGAAATTTTGCCCTAGTTTAGGCAGGATTTTGACCTATCTTCATGGCCATTTTTCACATAGTTACACTTGGAATATCAAATTGAATTTCAAAGATGGATTGTAGAGCATGTTTCAAGATTTCCAAAATGTCCAAGAACTCTCCAAACACATTTGTGGTTAGGGATAATCGAAGGCTTGAAGTTGGCAAAAACTCACTTTTCATCCATGGCATATTCATTATGATACAAATTGCAAATTCAAATAAGCTTGCTTTACACTAGATTACAGGCCTCAAAACCATTCCACACTCAATAATTAAGTGCAAAACCATTGGTCTAAGGTATTGTTTTGGTCATTAGGGCATTGCACACAAGATTAACCCTTAAATAGAAAAAGCAACATTACCATTTTTGCTTAAATTTTGCTTTATGTCAAAACTGATTTCTTGAACATTGGTCCATATCTTATGAAGCAAATGAAATCCACAAATTGGAGGGGCCAAGGTCAAGGTGTGCAAGCATATGGATAGCCTGTACATGCCTGTTGGACATCACTTCTCATGTTTGCTTAAAATACAAAAAGATATCCAAAACACTAGAACTGGAACCTCAGCAAAAACCAACTTGTGCAAGAATTTCAAACAACTTTCTCACATCCCCTTGAACCAAAAACATGAACCTTTGAGCCCTCAAACATCCCATAGCTCAAAATCACCTTCCATTGGAAAAACAGGGCAGCATCTGCAACTTGACTTCCATAGCACAATTTGTTCGTGCGTTTTGCCCCAAACCTGTTCAAACACCTTCCATTCAATCCACCCAAGCTATCCCAAACCTTAAACACCAACTGTAACTCCATTTACAGGGTTTGCCATTTTCATTTTGAGCTTGTACAGGTTGAGTTCTGTAGGCTTGTTCAAGTACATTCAAGGCAAGCTAGACATTGGAGAAGGTCAAGTGAAGTTCAAGCAAGCTCCCAGACATCTCAAGCCTTGTTGAAAAGCTCCATATTGCCCTACACGAAGTCAGCTGAAACAAGTTTTTATAAACTTCCTATCTCTTTATTTAGGAACATTTAGACTTAGGTTTGTGAATAAGAAATGTAGTATTCATAGCCATGAAGCTGTACATATGCTCAGTTTTCATTTTTATTAAGCATGCTAAGAGAATTTGGTCCATGAACATACTGAAAAAATTAGGTTAGATTTTAGGGCCAGAGAAATTCTCTCTGGTCTTTGAGAGTTAGGACATGTTTTTTATATGGTTGGATTCGTCTTGAAAAGCTCTACAACTTTGATGTTATGTGTTTTTGCAATAGAGCTCGTATGCAGGATCTAGCAATTGTACAGGGCGTGCGCGTTTTTTTGAAGTCAGAGGTTGAAGATGAAGTGTGGTGGGCTGGGCTTGGTCCTGGCTCACTATTGACACCCCCTTTTGCTTTTTGCACCCCTCTGGCCCAATTTCTTTACATTTTTGTATTTTTATATTTATTTTCACTTTCTGATTTTGTTTTATATTTTCCAAACATAAAAATATCCAAAAATATTTTCATAAAATTTTCACATTTATTTTTATTATTTTTATTATTTTTTAGACATAAAAATAACTATTAGGGAATATATGCTTTTATTTTATTTAATAAAAACTTATAAATATTATAGAAATATTATATATTTTATTTTTATTATTCATACCTATAAAAATAATATTTTTCTCATATACTATCATTTTTCCT